GACTGCAGCCTAATGCAGCTGGATGTTGGTCCATAGGGCATCACTGGGCTTAGTGCTCAATGAAGTTGGGAAAAAAAATGAAAAACCTAAATTTTTATTAGTTAGGAGACGTCGTGGTTTTAACAAAACCACAAAGTGGGTCAGAGAGGGGAATCTGTGGGTTCAGATTCCTGCCGAGTCAGCTGCTTGCTATTAAACACGTCACTCAGCTGCTATTCGTGCAGATCAACTACATCTTTGTAACACTGAGAAAGCAAGGCCTCATTAAAACGGGCACTTCATTTCTACTGAGAGAATGCAAAAAAGATGGAGGGATGGATGTAGAAGGCCAAACTGAAAGGGAGGTGTGCAGGTCTGCTCCTGCAGTGTCTCTTCCCTCTGTGTGCTCCTGCCAGCCTCAGTGGGGCTGTACTGTGTATATGCAGCCCTCTTATTTGAGGTGTTAATATGAATGCTTGTCTTCGTAAGAAAAATTACAATAATAAAAATTGGGATTTGAAGAGACCTTTCTGGCATAAGTTACCTGTGTCTCAGAGTGGTTTATATCTGTAATTGCTGGTAGCTAATGCTGTGGAATGAGGTCTTTCCACAGCAGCTATTTTTATTGGCTTTTTTTAAAGCTACTTGGCACTGTGAACTCTTGAAGATACTTTCACTTAAGAGAATTTTTGTTTTGATTCCTAAGAGCAGCAAAAAACCCCACCCTTGGACTATGGCAGAATCCATGGTATAAAAGATTTCAAAATCAAAACGCTGCCAGGTCTGGCTGTAGTAAACCAGGGAATTCATTAGAGTTCAGCTTTATGTAGCATGGCTCTGCTCCTAAGAGTGCATATAAATCTGCAAAGTGCTACTCTTCTTTCTCGTTTACCTGCTGATGGTGCAGAGACAGCACATTACTGGAAATTCTTGAATGCAATTGCAAAATACATAAATATGCATTTTCTGAGTCTCATTACCTGTCTTTAATGCTCTTTTGAGCAACTCCTAGTTGAAAAATTAAGACTCGTGTTGCTCCCTCTTGCTCTGAATTTGGATCTGGATCAGAATATTAAATACTTTGGAGTTCAGGTGTGCACGGATGAAAGGGTTTTATTCAGACTGCTAATAACGTTATTAATTCAGCTTGAAGCTAATGACATAATTATTAATGTGAACTCTGAATTTGCTAGCTATTTGCCTTGCTTAAACTTTTGACTCAACCCTGCTGATTTTGCACCAAGTTTGTGAGAGTCCTTGGCGGGGAGATGCTGGGGTGCTTGTGGATACAGGACCTCCTGTGAAAAGCCGTTGTGCTCCTCAGCTCCACTCAGCTGGGGTGCTTGTGGATACAGGACCTCCTGTGAAAAGCCGTTGTGCTCCTCAGCTCCTCACACACCTTTTTATAATAATTTTTTTCTGCTTTAGGAGTGTGTTTATTATTACTGCCATCCTTCTAGGGTATTCATCAAAATCATATTCAGTTGTCTCTAAGTTATATGAATCAGGAGTATGTTTTGAGATTGGGGAAGGGATAGGGAAGGCAGTGATGAAAAAGGGAGGACTCCAAAAAGGAAATTCCTTTCCAGTTCAGGTAATCTTGATGGGAGAGTGATAGAGATGATTGTAATGATACCGCAGTGGGTGGGGAGCAAGAGGCAAGATGGAGACAAGACTTTGAGAGAGAGAAAAAAATTATATGGTCAACCGCTCTGTTCTTTATCCTGAGTCTGCAAGGGCTTAAAACCAAGTGCAAACTGAGGTCAGAGGATGTATGTCAGCTCTCGGGACCAGGGCATGACTTTGAGTAAGCCAACAGGCCCATGTATAATTAAAGTATGTGATGAAGCTGTTGGAAATACATTTGCCACACTGAACATCTCTGATTCCATGCTCCAGCCTGGGCTTCTTACTCATTTTGTCTTGTGTTTCTGTGACTTGTTAATTTAAAACAGAAGTTTTTCACAGCAGGAAGCTGTTCCTTGATACATTTCCATAGCACCTAACTCAGTAGGGCATCTGTGTTAATAGCAGCCCTGTAGGTCCTACCACATCAGCTGGTCATAGCAGGATTCCTCCAGCTGCTCCTTCCTGATTAAGTTAACAATGAGCTGTGGTTGTAGTGCATCTCATTTCATTTTGTTTGCTTTTTTCTTTCCGTAAACCTGGTATTTGAGAAGTGCATGGAAATTGAGTTCTGGATCTTTTCCATAGCATATTTAATTTTTGCTTACTTTGAAGGGTGGTGGGAAATGAAACTAATGCATACGGAGAATGGAGAACTGTTGCCTTACGTGGAGGTCTGAGAGAATTTGACGATGTTTGGCATGAGACCAGGGTGGCAGGGAATAAATGCCCCCCCAAAAAAACCCCAAAAAAGCAGAATGCGTGTAGTTCTGAATAATTTAAGTCAAAAATTTTTTAAGTAAACAAGGCAGAAAATAGTAGGAAGGAAGCATTACCCACTGCTGTACAGAGAGATTAATTACTCCTATGAGAGTCTGGTTTAGAGGTGCAAAAGGTACTTTCCCTTAAACCCTGGCTCTGGCATGAACCAGCAGGACTCTTCGTTCTTCCCCCATGAGACGAAGGCAAGTGTATTGCAAGTGCAGCCTCGGTGTCACAAATGGATGCCACGAACAGACAGAAAGGTTTTTTAATCCATTGAAATGGACATGGAGGTGAACCGAGAATAGAAATTAAGGTACAATAAGTTACTTTCCATTCATTTGAGGTATATTTTAGTAGAGCTATTTATGGCGCTTTTTTTGACTGAGAACAGAGATTATAATAATCTAACAATAATTACCTTATGGGAAAACCACGAACAAATTAAACTGAATTCTTCTGTGTTTGATCCTTTTGCAATAGATAGTAGAATGATAAAACTGTTATGAAGCAACATCGCACTAGTATGTCAAGCTGGTTTTTTTATTTCATTGCAGATAACTGTAAGGGAAAATATTCGAAACTAGATGACATGCATTATGACATACCATTTAGCCATGGAGATGTAAGCTGGGATCAAAGTTTGTTTGGAAAACTGAGGTCCTTGGGAGCAGGAAGAAGGAGGAGTTTCTGACAAATAATATCAGAATTCTTCTAGGTTCCTTAGAGCAGGTCTAAGGTTGTCATAGAGAGGTTCAACACTTCATTACATTGCATTACATGCTAGAGTCCGTGTGTCTGAAGAATGAGTTATAATTCTTAGCCTTTTCTTGGTCACTGTCATATGAGGTCATATGAGTCAGGCTGGTGCTGTCAGTAAGGTACTGTCTCTTCTTTGCCCTCATTTTGCAGTTAGCTACTTGGTCTGGTACACGGTAAGAGCTTTAGCAAAACAAGATTGAAGTTAGCCGTTTATTTTGTCTTCATTACTATCCTGAGTTACATTTAGTAGCTTTCTTGGTTTTTAGAAGTTACAATCACTCTGCTCTTAGAAAAGCTGTTCTCACCATTGCACACACGTCTTCTCCGTAGAGGAGCAAAATGCAGTCAATACCAGAGGGCAGGAGTTGTCTTTCTGCGTTGCTGGCGATGCCAGGGTGGGGTTTGGGGAGCCAGCAGATGGCTTGTGGTCACAGCAAGAATTTTTCTCTCCCTGCTCAAACTTTTGCAGCCCAGTCGTTGACATTTAACCTTAGTTATCCAATATAAATGATGATTCAGGCAATTCTTTTTCGCATCCCACCAGAGTCTATTGCTGCTGCCAAAACAGAGTTACAGCTGACACAGGAGCATGATTCCTTTATTATTATTTTTGTTATATTTATTTTTTTCAGCTCCTTGTTTTGGCATTCTATGCTATTTTCCTCCTCCTACAAGGCTTTTGCCTGTTAGATTACTTTGTTAAATGTTTCTCTTGTCTTTTCTGGGTTTTTCTTTTTTCCTTTCTATTCACAGTTCCAGGTATTTTCAGATTTAACTTGAGATTCCCTGTAAGTTTACAGGTTCTTTCCTCATCAGACTATGGAGTCACATGGCTAACTTTGAAAATGCAAATACTGTGGATCATATTTGTTTATCAGTACTTCCTCCAAACAGTATTTATCTTTTCACCAACATCGCTGTGTCCAAGCATGCCACCTTCTGTTTTCTTCTCTTAGAACTAAATATATGCAGAAAACATTGGCAAAACGTTTTGTGCTTAGGAAGCCAGTTGGAACTTCCCTCCTCATTTAACTCTTCAGGTTAAAATTAGAGCCTTTCTTATAACTTTTAGAAGGTCTTTGTCTAATTCCAAACGACCAGATGATGTGCTTGGGAAGTAAAAATTCTGAAAAAAAAAACAAAACAGTAACAGAATCTTAAGCCCATAAAACACTAAGTGACGTTCTTAAGACAGATTTGAAACTATGAAGTTGCAGTGCTCAAGTGAATTGAAGTGTTGGACTGTACTGCATACCAGCAGCCAAAGGCAAAGTTGCATATTAAGGGTTCTACCGTCTTCCAGCTTTACATTGATGAAGGATTAGTGTAACGCCTTCTCGAAGAGCATCAGCAGCCAGATCCAGACTTACTTGTAGGCAGTGGAAGGTTTTTTTCCTTTCTGGGGAAGGTCCTGCAACACCAAATGTCTCAAATATTTCTATGTGAATTCTCTCCCTCTATTAAGGGGGAGCCACACTGGGATCCTCCAGCTTATTTTTAAAATCTCAACAATAAGTTCACACAATATGAAACTGTGCAGAAACACTGATACTTTTTGGCACTCTACATTGTTTCAAATTGCTTGTTGTTCTCATTGTGCTTTAGCACAGGATTGATTATCTAATTGGCAATATGATAATCAATTAGACATATGACCTTGTTTAATCCTTCCCCAGCATATTAAATTGCTAGGCAATTAACAGGATTTGAGACTTTCCATAATCTTCATGGTGTCTACACATGCATAAGGATAAGTGTGTTTGCATCTGAAATCATGAAAGAGAAAACCCTTCGTGTTGCTGAATTTTGTGGAAATTTTATTTTTCCATATGTTTCATGTTGTTCTTTTCATTTTTAGGTATTACATAGAAATGGCTTTATGGATCTGGACACTGACCATTTTGAGTTTTTGCATCACCTTATCCAGAAATGAGGAACTGAAATTTTTTCAGAGTGCTACAGAGCTAAATCATCTAACAGTGGATAATGACACTGGGATAATCTATCTGGGAGTGGTAAATGCTCTGTATCAGCTTACAGAAAACCTGGATCCAATAAGGTCTGTAGAAACAGGTCCAAGAAAGGACAACAAAAAGTGCACACCTCCCATTGATGAAAATCAGTGTAAAGAGGCAGTACTGACTGACAATTATAATAAATTACTGTTGCTGAACAAGGCGGATAAAACAATTGTGGTGTGTGGAAGCCTTTTTAAGGGAATCTGTGCCATCAGAGATCTGGAGGACATTAGCAATGAGACATATTATGTAGACAGTAGTGGAGAAAAGTCCTTTGTAGCAAGCAACGATGAGAATGTATCGACTGTGGGATTGATCACCTCCTTGAATAACGACCGAGTGCTGTTTGTTGGGAAAGGGAATGGACCAAATGATAACGGCATAATAATCAGCACTCGGCAGCTCTACGAAAGGGATGGAAAAGACATTTTTGAAATGTATACAGACTCAGCAGCTGTTAAGTCAGCTTATCACTCGTCAAGCACACAACAATTTGTGGCAGTCTTTGAGGATAAAAATTATGTTTATTTTATTTTTAATCAGCAAGAGAAACAGCCCGTCAATAACCGCACACTGATTGCGCGTCTGTGCAAAGATGATGCCCATTATTATTCCTACTTTGAAATGGACTTGGGTTGCAAAGATGATGATGGTGCTTATGACCACTGTCATTCTGCTTACGTCACTACCCCAGGAGAAGAGCTAGCTGAAAGCATGGCTCAGCAGAGACAAACTACGGATGCTCTCTCAGATGACAAAGTTCTTCTTGCACTCTTCAGCAAAGTAAACAAAGATAACGGCTCTCTAAAATCTGCGATGTGTGTGTTTTCCTTGCGGCACATCAATGAAAAGATGGAAAAAAACCGGAATGACTGCTACACTAAAAAGAATACCAGTGCATTTTACAAGCTTTTTGCAGCAGAAAACCCATGTGCATCACACGGACTGGTAATATCAGTATCAGTTTTAGAATCTGTGTTAAAATTAGTGGGAAATACACAACTGCATGTTTTTGGGTGGCTCTGAGCTAAACTATAGTGAGATCAGATGACTGAAAACTCAATAGCTGGATTCACTATAGAAATGAAATGTGATTGGGGGGGTTGCGGAACAGGTCAAGAAAAAAGTGGCAAAATAGTCCTAATTTTGAGACTTTTAAAGAAGATTTTATATCATCTGAAAGTTGTATATTGGTTTCATAAACGCATTTCTTTTAAAGGGTTCCTCCTCCCAGTGTGGAAGTTACTGAGTCAAATGCAGTGATTTGTTACACCCATGATCAGCTTGCAGATGGTCACTATAGACAATTCTGGTCTCAGCCAACATATTTATAATGTTTTTAAATGGTATTAAGAATCTTGTAGGTGATATCTGGAGTTCAGTGTTGTTTGTTGCTTGGATTTGAATTTTCACATAACTGGAAGTATGCATGTTTCTTATACTCAGGTGGTGTTCATATTTTGCTCTCGCTCAAAATACTTCCATAGCATGATGGCCATCTTCCTTTTCTTTTTATTGCTTGTCATTACCCTGGCTATAAGGTTTTTGGAGGGCACTCTTACATCCCTCCAGATACTGTTCTTCAATTTATGACTGTGCCTCTGAGAGGCAGTTTTCAGCACCTCTGTTGACTTCATGCTGGTTTTGCCCACACCACTCAACCTATTCCAAAGCCCTACTTGTGCATGTCGTTCATTACTGCAGCCAACCCTAAAATGGGTTGAGGAATTGAATCATCTTAAAAATGACTTAGCTTTTAAGAGGATGTCTTAATTCCCCAACCTGAGCAAGGTACACTCCTGCATAAGCAGCTATTTGAGCACAGCTTGGGAACTGGTGTGCTATAGTCCAGGGGTAGGAGTGTACAGCTGAAGAGACGAGGCACGGGAATACCTTATGTTGCTATTGACCCAGAATCCTTCATCTCATGAAATCACAACCCTCACCCACACAGTAGGTTGCTAGCACTGATAAGAAGCCAAAAGAACACTTGTTGCTTCCAAACACCAGTGTTGCTCACTGCAGTACCCTGCATCTGAGGTGAGCATCAAACACAGAAATCCTGAATGTGACAAGTGGAGCAGCCATGGCTTTTTTTTTTCCGGCAAAAAGGAGGTGTGGATTTCAGATCAGAAAGACAGTGTCATTACCAAATATAGCAGGGATGGCGTGGTGTGAATGAACTTCCTTCTGGTGGCACTGCCTGCATCTCAGGATTAAAGCGTAGTGAAGAGGGAATGCGTTGAAGTTCATGAGGCAGTTGCCAGTGGATTGCTTTTCTATGGATAGCAGCAAATTAGGAAACAAAACGGCATTAAACAGTCTTCAACCCCAAATTGGTCAACTCAATCTATATGACATGTTCATTTTAATTACACAAACTGGTTACTTTTTAAACTGAGCTGCTATAATGAAATAGAAATCAAAAAAAATTCTCTCCCCATGTCTACTAGAAAGTGAAAGCATTGAAGCAGTTTGCAATTAGCAGGCTGCTTTCTGATTGCTGCCTGTCGGCGGGGGGAAAATGGCCAGACAATCCATTTCTCTCTCTGTACTCTTCTATGTCTGAGGGGTATTATACTGTCTGGGAATAGGGTTGCACTTCATTCTTGTCCAGGAATTAGTGATCTGAATGTTTAACATCACTCTGTATTGCTATTCCTTATTAGAATGCAAGCAAAAATTTCCCCTGTGGCTCCGAACACTTGCCGTACCTTTTGGGAAGTAAGAACGGTGTTATAGAGAAGCCAGTACTACAAAAAGAAGGGATGAATCTCACGGCTGTCACTGTGGCTGTGGAGAATGGGCATACTGTGGCCTTTCTGGGAACATCGGATGGTAAAATTCTTAAGGTAACAAATCAGACTTAAAAGATAAACATGTTTAAAAGGTCATGAATGTAGTGATAGCATACTTCCACTCTAAAAGTAAATGTGATTAATAAGATTGCATACCAGGAGTAAGTTCTCTTCGAGCTTTATATTTTTAATTTCAAATTAAAACCAGGTTATTTCTGATGTACCTCAGCTATCCAATACACAGGCTGAATTAGCATCACCTGAATGACACTGTTCCTGAAGGTTTAGATACCTACTCAGAGCCCTTTATCAACAGCCTTGGGTAATCTAACAGCTTCTCTAGCCCATAGTATCTCTATTCAAGCCCATAGTAGTTTAAGAGCAACTTTTCATTTTGTAATCATTCTGGCAGTTTAATGAATAGGGGATGGCAATACTCTCCAAGCTGGAGCCCTGCTAAGTTCTGACTGTGTGATGTGGGGCTCAAGGGTTCACGTGTTTGTAGTCTTAAAATGTCAAGACTGCAACACCAATCCCCTTCTACTGGAAGGGGAATGATGGCCATGTGCCACCACATGGTTTGAAATTTGAAGCTGAAACTGTTGGTTACTATAAGGGAGGACAACAAATTTTAACATCTTCAAGTGCAAAGGCTCCAAGTTGAGAATTTGAATTTTACAGCGCTAAAATAAGTTAGTATTTACCAAAAAAATCAACACAAATATTAGCTATATGAGCAGTGAGCAATTTCTTTTCATGACTTTCATGCTTTGCTTGCTGCTTTTGATGCCATATACTTCAAATTGAAATGTTTCCCTAATGTGAATTTGTGAACTTGAGTAAACACAGGATTTTTAGTAATGATATTTGGGGGGAAAAAAAGCAACATTAACCATTTTTCTTTCTTCCTTCCATGAAATAGGTGTTCTTGTCATCCACTGCAACTGAGTACAGCTCTCTTACTATTGAACTAAACAAACCCATAAAGAGTGACCTGGTCCTTGACCAAACCCAAGAAAATTTGTACGTGATGACCACAGACAAGGTAACGTGTCCCACTTGCGTTAAGGACCACTTTGACTTCCTCTGCAACTTTACCTGAGATATGTACATTTCTCGGTTGCTCCTGGTAGTGACCCCATGCGGTGGGGGTCCCCCCAGTCTGTGTGTATAAAGACCTTTCTCAAGTCCAAGCTGATGGACTTGATTGTTGTGACTTGGAGAACTGTTATATCCTTGATGCTTAGCGATTGGGAACGGGGAGCAAGTTCACCTCTAAAGCTCTCTTATAGGATCTATGAGAAGGATGAAGTTGAGATGTTTGGCACCAGCATGCCGTGGGGTCAGGCAGCCGTAGGTGTGGTGTCCTCGGGGTCCTGGCAGATGCTCTAGCTGCCATCGGTCCTTCTCAAGAGTACTTCAGGATTTAGGTACTGGCAGCTGACATACAGCATTTACACATCTGTGAAGCTGCCAATTTTCATGGGTCTTTGCTGTCAAAAAATAAGAAGCAATGGAGAGAATTACAACTTTAGGAAACACTTTTGTTTGAGCTTCTGCTAGAACTGAGCAAGTGCAGCAGGAAAGATCGGACTTTGATATGAAAGGCACAGGCAGTCTCTTCTGGTTCCCCTTCTCTGTGCTGGTGGGTGAGGCACAATGCAGGTTTTTAAAGAAAGTAAAGTAGGAGATGAGAGGGATGCCAGATTTCTCCTTGACCTCCAGCTATAACCCTCTTCTGACACTTCTCTTTGTGGTGGCTGGAACTGGGAGCCTCAACAGCAGCTCTCCAGGGCGGGTGACAGGCTGCGACCATCTGCAGCACTGACAGTGGCACGGAATGGGATGTGGAAAACACTCCGGCAGCAGTAACACGGGGAGAATGAGTGGACTGTCAAAGGAGAGTATTTGGGGAAAACAGTGCAGGAAGAATGTTCTCTTTCTGTTTTATAAAAGGATTCATATAAATTGCTGCTCTGGGGATGTTACAATCTAGCTCAAGATTTTCAGTCTGGAAGCCACAGTGGAAAAAGTGCCAGATAAGCAACTGATAAAGCATTTGATAATATGACAGTGTGTGAGAGAAGTTACTTCCTTTTTTTTTTTTTTGAGTAGCTGAAACTTCTCATTTGTCTTCTGTTCAGATTTGGAACAGAACTCCAAACTTCGATGCCGTCCACAAAAGCCTGGGTGGCCTGGCACCCCGTTTGACAAGCTGGCATGTTGCTTAAAAGCCGTGAGGTTAAAAGGCCTGAAAAGCCACCAGGCTATGGTGTGAGCTGCTGAGCAGCATAAGGATTGGCAGCAGCCCTGAAGGAAGACAAGTTTTCTGGTGACAATCTACTTGAACCGGTAGAATTTAGGAAGGCCACAGACAAATTTTTCAGAGAAAATTTACAAAAAAATAATTCCGTCTCTACAAAATGTTTAAATGTAGAAAGAATCAAATTTCTGCCAAAGAAAGGATTTCAGTTTAATCTTTTCCAAGTAGCTCTCATAGACACTGCAGTTTCTGAATAATGCAAATAGTAGTTTTCTTTTACAAAACCTGTTCAGCTTAAATACAAATAACTAAAGTTGGGAGCTCTGTAATGGCACTACCTTACTGTCATCTCCAGGAATTAATTACAACAAGCAGTCCCACCCACTTTTAGAAGCAGATAGACAGGAGGAGAATGGAGCCTCCGGAGCTGGGAGAAGCAAAGCGACATAAGCGAGGGAAGAAGAATAAATGGTGAAATGTGCACTTCTGGGTTAAGCACGGCTGGGAGTTGTGGGAATAGAGATATCAGAATCCTGCCCCAGGGAGTTAAAATGGTTTAGAGTTATTTAAAATCATGTAAACAATAAAGGGCAGGGTAGCTGCGCTATAGGCGTGCTTAATGCTAAGCTACCTGGCAGATGCAGCCTGCCTCAGCATTTGGAAATGAATTGATTGGGCTCTGTAAGCACTTGAGCAAAGTGAAAGCGATATTGTGATGGGTGATAACTTGAAGCAGCCTTTAAAAAGAAATCAAATTGAGAGAAATACAGGGGAGAAGGATACAGAGGTTAAGAGCTGTAGTGAGAAATAAGCTCTTGCTTTCCTGTTTCACTTCTCCCCCTTCTCCTCCCAGCTTCTGCTGCTGTGTCAACAGAGCAAATGCTTTCAAAAGTCAGCCCCCTCCTCCCCGCTCTGCTCCCAGAGCTTGGGCAGAGCGCAGGAGAAACCCCTCCAGCTTCTTGGGGTGGTGGAAAGGAGCGTACCACCCTGCCGTGCTCATGCTACTTCATTCAAAGTGATCGTCACTGGTAGGATCCCAAATTCCTTCTGGTACATACTGTATTGGGAGGAAGGCAGAAGCCTGTGGCAGCCACCACAATCACTAGCTTGTTTGCTTGTTTTAGCTTTTACCACTCTCTTTGATTAAGAGTGCCAATTAGAAAAGCTCTAAAGTTAGTTTCTCTGCATTTTGAAGCTGGCTCTAAATGGAGCTGCTTTTTATTTTTTTTAATCCATTAAGTTTACATAAAACTTGCAGAGATGCCAATCTCTAGGGCTTGTTTCTGCCTGCCAGAATTATGAAATAAATACTTTGTCATAAAAAAGCCATTCACTGGCTATTAAATTACTCATGGGTACCAGTTAGTGGAACAGAGTGCCAGTAACTCGGCTCCAATTAGGTAAGAATCTGTAGAAGAAGAGAGTGATGAAAAGGTAAACCTCTCTATTAATAAATGCAAGAAAACTACCCAATATTGACGTTTTCCTTAACTGAGTCAGTCTGAATGCTCCCAATGTGAAAGAGGAGGCAAAATTCAGACTTTCAAAGTAGCTTTGTAATTGCCAGTAGTTTTAAATGAGAGGATAAGATACAGAAAAAAAAAAAAGCTAGCATCTCAGAGTTACTGTTGCTAGACATCTTGCACTCTTTAAAACATAGTCATCAACAGGAAGACCTATGTCCTGATCTCCTCTTGCATAATTTCAGTAGCATAACTAAAAGGGATGATTGCGTGCCGGATCCTTTTTCTGTGCACCAAAGAAAGACAAAATTGTTTATTCTCAGTACTGAAGGAAATCAAAACCAGAAGCCATATATTTACTGGGGGACTGAGACGTGAGAACTGATGATGCTCTTTTCCCTGCTGCTTCCTGTCATAATTATTTCCATTTTCTTCCATGAGTGTATTGCGTGGTGCAGGGTTGTGCATGGAGAAGTGCAGTAACCCGAAGCGCCGTGGCTCTCTCGCGCTTGCAGACTTTCTGAAATGCCTTCTGGCTAAAAGTGCCACTGACGGTTGCATTTCCAAATAATTTCATCTCTGTGCCAGTGATATGGGGAGGATATTCTGTTTAAAAAATGATCTAACTAGTACCAAGTTAGCTTTTTGAAAGTATCCATCCTGCAGTAGCTGTTTCTTGAATTCAGAGAGTTGTTGATGCAGTTTCTGTTAGAGAAACGTTAGAGAATATTGGAGTGAAAAAAAGCAGAAAAAGTGTGTAAATTTGGACTTTATTAAGGAAGGGTAACCGCACTCTGGTTTTGTATGAATTTTCTTAAAATCAAACTGAGCTCTGATCACAGTAATACAGGGTCAAGCCTTCTGCTGCCACAGGCAGCGGCACTGTACAGCCCTGTCCACAAACGTTTCCGGCTCCTTGTGCCCTCTTCCGGTCCCTTACCGTCTGCCTTACTTTTGGTTCTCCAGGTTCATCGACTACCTGTGCAGGACTGCCACAAATATTCGGACTGTGAGAAGTGTGCTCAAGCGAGGGATCCGTACTGCGGCTGGTGCGTGAGAGAGGGCAGGTGAGTGCTGCCGGTGTCCTCTCAGGTGCAGGTGGTGGAATAGCTCAAATTTTGACACGTGCTGTGAGTTACTGCTCAATGTAGTGATCCCAGCTTTTTGTATTCAGCCTTACACTCCTGATAGTAATTTAATTTTATCACACAGACATTGATGCCCATCTTCCGTGCGCACAAGTAAGTCCCCGTTGACTTGTGCAGACTTGATTGGCTTGGGAAAACATACTTTTCTGCTGGTACTGAAAATCAGTATACATCTTCTAACTGCATGTTTTCTCTCTCTCTGAACTGTACAGTCAAGTGTTCTCCCAGAAATTAAAGGAGTGGTCCCTATTTAAAATTCAGAAAATATAGCATATATCTAAGTAGAGTTAGGAAAGTATAAAAAAGAGCATAAAAGAAAAAACTGTTCATGTCTGAAATAAAGTATATAGCTCAAAAGCTGTTTTTATATAAATGTCATCTGAACCCTCACCTAACTGTAGGAGAGCAGAAAGTGGCATTTGGCTGACTATCTGCAGAGGTTAACTGAATTAATATTCAAACACATGTAAACTAGGACAGCGCTGAACAGCTCTTGAATGTCTCTTCTTTCACTCTTCATTGATTGGAGTGGCGAGAGGGAAGATCGGTCTTGCAGTTCTCTTTTTGACTACTAAGTTAATTAACCCCTTGGCATGAGCGGTTGGGAATTCGTGATTCTAACTACTTGCTGTTGGAACAAAGGGGCTATTTAATTATAGTATGCAGATGAATTTCAGGCTTCTACCTTCCTGTCTGAAAATGTGAACTATTACATTAAGTTACCTATCAGCCTGATGTGTAGCATAATATGGAGCACTGCAGAGAAACGTATGCGATGCGTGCAGGTTTATGTAATATACTGTAACCCTTCCAGCCTGGGCTTCAAGTTGCTGTGGATGAAACCTGGGGATTTGGAATACACGCCTCAAACTCCTCCTGGGCTGCTGGGAGTTGAAGGCCATGTCATATATCATACAAAAGGCAATTTTCCCTAGATTTCCCTTCAGGTTTCTGATATGACCACTGACCTCAATCTCTCAAAATATTAATGGTCTCTGAGAACAGGCAAACATGAATTTCTGCATTTGCTAGTAAAAGGCGCTAAATTTCTAATGTTTTTCTTATGACCAAATTTTGTCTCATGAACATACTTAATTGTGTGTTTAGGGATATTCTATACGACTGTAGACTCTGTATGTAAATGATACCTTTAAGTGTAGGGTTGACGGAACTGTGTGACAACTGTACTGTGTTAAAGCCCCTGAGGAGTTAATAGTCTTCTGCTACAGCAGCCAGAGATCCTACAGCTTTTTTTCCTAAACATTGCAGAGAATGGAAGGAATACAGATGAGTCTGTCCTCACATACACACATCAACAAGCTTTTGTAGCCACATATGCAGCTTCTGCGCTGCAGCGTCTCCTTCTCTCCTTCCTGGACATGAGCCGGAAAAATCTCCCAGTATTTTTGGTGAAGTTGCACAACCACTGTTGTCTTCCCATAATGGTAACGGTGCCCTGGCAGAGAGAGGTCTTAAACAGTGAGAGGAGTTAATGAAAACATTCACTATAAAACTAACATTTCTAGTGTTACAGTTCCACAGGATCGCTCCACAAGCCTGTGTGCGCCCCGTGATACTTCTCCATTACATTTTACTCTCAGGAGTTGGGTGTCTTATTACTGGCAACACATAGGTGTCTGCCACTTGACCTGCAGAAAAAATAGGCTGTGCCCACTCATCCAGGACTTTCTTACATATTACAATGAAGATTAATCAGCCTGGTTTCAGACAGAGACATTGCCTGATGGCTCCTGTGCTAAATATTACTGCCTCTGTATGGATTTGGGTTGTCTAATCCAAGGTTGTGTCCAAAATAGTATAGGCATGTTTCCCCACATGCTTTTGACATCACAAACCATCAATACTTATTCCACCACTTATTCTATTAAAAATTCTCTAATAGAAACCCAAATAGTCAATATTAAAGCAAATTCCCAGTCATCTCTTGTTGTAAATTCAGGCCCAAATCCTGAAGTTGTTGTATAGTTCAGAGAAAGCAGAGTCCGCTTATAATATTGCTTTGCTTTGTTTTTTGTTCCTGTTTTGTCAGGTGCACAAAGAAGGCAGACTGTGGAACAGCTGATAAGGAGAACCACTGGCTGTGGAGCCCAAGTGGCACATGCATGACTATCATTAGTGCAGACCCTCTAAATATGAGTCGCAGAGCCCCTG